AAAAAATTTATACAAATAAAAAAATATAAAGTAAAATAAATTTACAAAATAAAAAAATATTTTACAAAAATTACACTAATTACTATCATTCAACTTAAAATATTTAAAATATCTTTAAAAGTTAAAGTATTTACAAATATCACAAAGTAAAACGTATTAAAAGAAATTTTCGTTGCGAAATCACCATCACCAATTCACTAGGAGAAATAGTACAAAGTGAGAAAAAGGAAAATTAAAGATTTAAAAGGTAACCGTTATTTCCCAATTACCGGTTTATATCCATTTTCTGTCAATATTTATGCAACGTGTCAATAAGAGTGAGGGCAAGTGTTAAAGAGAGTGCTGGTGGGCGAGTGCCCATAGCACTGCTCATCTTTTTTAAATTGCATTCACAGTTATCGAGGGCAATTACTGCATATGACTAAACTTTAATATTCATATTTTTAATTTTCAAAGTATGGTGATTTGATGGTTTTAAATACTGTAAGGACAGGTCGAGGTGCCAAGCCTCGGACTGCTACAGTAACTGCTCTATGACCGAAATGGAAAATAAACCCAAAGCCTCCCGCTCAAATAGATGCATGACAGTGACAATAAGCATGCTCGCACCTGATTCCTTGTGATGAGTCGCACAGCAAGTATGGTGGACGCTTGTGCATCTGAATACCTCTCAAATTCCTGGTCCCGGAATAATCGTCTGGATGAACACGTCAGGCTCCGATTATCTTGCTTGGCATGCCACGTGGGTTCCTCATTGAATCCTATAAATACCCCCCCAAGCCACGTCAAAAGGTAATTGAAACCAACCTTAAGCTTTTCTTATCTCCGCCCTAAAGGTAGCCCCGATTATTGCTGACTTAAGCATCGGAGTGTCTACCCCGAGTTCCACCTCGAGGCTTTGCAGGTCATTCCGAAGTGCAAGCGCGGACTAGAGAAGGACTTCGGGTTTGGTGCAATTACATTGGCGCCGTCTGTGGGAATCGAACTGAAAGCTTTCTAGTTGCTCTTTCATCATGGTTCACACTCGATTAGTTCGAGCTGGTAATTCATCTCTGCCTCATGGGCAAGGTCAACCCTCAAACAACCTTCCACCTCAAATCCCACCTCAGATCCCACCTCAAATTCCAACTCAACTTCCACCTCAGCTTCCACCTCAGGTCCCAATTCTGTTCCCTCCTGTTGATCAGGCAGAAGGAGGAGATGAAAATCAACCTCATGTCTCAGCTCACAATTCAACCTCCACTGCCAATCAAGACCTGGTGACAGCTCAGCTTGCTGCCATGCAGCAGCAGTTTGGTGTTTTTCAGTTGGTACTGGCTCAGCTTCTAGCTAGAAGTAATCCTGGCGATCCCCTCATTAATTTACTGAACCCTGCTCAACAACCCCCAGCCCCACAACCGAATCCTCAACCAGCTCAACCCGCTCCCGCTGTTAGTGAATCCCAAGCTCAATCCCACATAGCACCTGCTCAGCAACCCATCCCAGATGATGTCACCCGACGCCTCAATAGCTTGGAAAAGCTAGTAGCTGAACACCAAGGTGCTCCACCCCCACACCATGCTGATGATTCTATACCTCACCCCCTGAATACCAACATCACACTGGAACCCTATCCTACTAGCTTCAAAATACCACAGTTGGAGACTTATGATGGGACGAAAGATCCCGATGACCACCTGCACGCTTTTTACTCTTGTATGCAAGCTCAGAACGCCTCTGACGCGTTAATGTGCAAGATCTTCCCCTCTACTTTGCGAGGTAATGCTCGAACATGGTATTATAGTTTACCTCCGAGGTCAATTAGTTCTTACACAGAGATGGCATCTGCCTTTGCCACTAAGTTTTCCAGTAGAAGGTTGATTAGGAAAACTACTACCGAATTGATGCGAGTTAAACAGAGGGATGGAGAGTCCCTAAAGAACTACATGAGCAGGTTCAATGATGCGGTGTTGGAGGTTAATTCCTTTGACCAAGCTGTGGGCATTGCAGCTGTCATCTCTGGTCTCAAACATGACAGGTTCCGAGACAGTTTGATCAAACATGCTGCCACCACCTTTAGTGAAGTAAACGACAGATCTCTGAAATTTATAACTGCTGAGGAATACACCCTGGCGCAAAACCCACCTTCCTCTAAGAACCAGAACCCAGAATGGCGAGATGACAATCCGAGCCGAAAAAGGATGAGAATGGCGCAGAACCGAGGTCCAGTGTTGACCCCCCCATCGAGATTCGGAAGGCCGAACTCCACGCCTCCACAACAATCTGCAGGTAAACCTCCAGTTAATTGGACTCCATTTAATTTGCCAAGGTCACAAATTTTTATGCAGATCAAAAATAAGATGGACTTGAGAC